AATGGTCAATATATATATATATATATTATTTATGTTTGTATAAACTTGTCGTTAATAAATAATGGTCACGACTTTCTCTTTCTCTCACTTTTTTAATTTTTTTTATCTCAAATCCATTTGATGCTCTCTTTATTATCTTAATTGTGACCTCTTTTGTTCTACTGGATCTCAATCAATCTGCAAAGCTTTATTTGTTAGTTGCCACAAATTCTTTTGTGATGTGTTGTCATTGTTGATCTTTTTTCACGACAACAATTTGAGAGTTTAAAGTTAAAAAATAAGTATATAGGATATTATTGTTTCATCTTATTATCATTTACTCATTCAAATTTTTATATTTGATTCATAGATTATGATTTAGATTTTTATCTATATTTCTCTATTTGTTTGAGTTTAAACATATTGTCTAAAAAATAATCTTTATTGTCATCTAAAATAGAAAAAAAAATTGAAATTGATATTAAATTTCAAAAGTTTGCTCTCAATAATTTTTTTTTAAATCTCTTATAATTTTTCTTCAAAATGATGCAAATATAGATAATCTAGACTTTAAGATATCATTGTTTTGATTCATCCCAGAGCACAAAAAAACTTAGAGTCAACTCTAGGGGTGTTCAAATTGTTAAATTGAACTAAACTAGAAGAAAACTAAACTAAACTATAATAAATAGTTCATCAAACTAAATTGAACTAAAATAAATATTGACTAAACTAAACTAAACTATTATCTATTTTAGTGCACTATAGTTCTAGGAGTTTAAACTAAACTATAATATCAACTAAATAAAACTATTATTAACTATAAACTAAATTGAACTACATTAAAAAAATAAATTTAAAATCATTTTTAAATTAAGTTACCAAATCATTGATATTAATTATGAATAACACTACTATAATTTTTTTTATTACATGCGATTTTTCCTGCGATTTTTTATAAAAATTTGCAGGAAACGTTGTTCTTACAAATTTTTTTGTAAAATTTTATCTATAGGTAATAACTTTGTAGATAATATGTTTTTGTGAATTTTAAAATTTGTAAGAAATTTTCCAGCAAAATTTCTTTTATAGTATCTATAAACCTATTTAAAAAAAAACTCTTATTCGATAGCTCAATAACTAGTTTTAGTAAATACATTAATTCGATTAGTGTATGTGTATCAACTATTTTTTTGCGCATAGCCGTGATAATGTAAAAATAAATAATAAATTTAAAAAAGAAAAAGAAGAGACACAATAGCCATGATCATGTAGAACTCAATTGGATAATAATTGGGCTTTTCTCTTCTGAATGACCGTATCCTACTACTTAAAAATTTGATAATAAAAAATTTGATAATAATGATTGGGTTTTTCTCTTCCGAATGATCATACCTTACCGCTTGACCATGGGACATAATCTTGAGTAAAAAAAATAAACAAGATAATTATATTTACTCACTAAAGTGAAAGAAAAATATTTTTACTAATATAAAAAAATATATACATACGAGAAGAGACTACAATAAAAATAATAATGGTCAAAGTCTATATAAAAAAAGAAGATAAAATAGTTTTAAATTTAAATAAAATAAAAGTAGATAAAACTCTACGAGATTTGGTCCCCTTTATGTAAAGATTAAAGAGATACATCCAGACCAATTTTATGTGCCACAATATTTCCTTTTGATTTTGAAAAAAGCAACTTTAGGTGAGTTTTCTTTAGAGTGTTCAAATGGCTAAATTGAACTAAACATATGTATATAAAAAATGAGATTCAGTTTTCTTTAGATAATAAAAAGATAAGTTTATATATATATATA